TATCGCCACATGTTCTATGGCTTTACCTGCGTCCCATTACATGCTGCTCCTTGGACGTGGTTTGGCGTCTCCCTTGCTCTTCTTTCTTCTTTCACTATCTCTCTTGGATTTTACTGCCTGGCTCCATCCTGCCCTGCCATAGGTCATGCACTTTTATTTATCAACCAATCAGAGCAACACATATTCACAGTGTACAGAAAGACATCCCACAGCAGTGTGTTATTTCTTATCACCCCATATTTCCAGTACAGTCTTGAATGTGAGCCTTCTCATCACCAGAGCTATGGGTGATACAGTGGTTGTGGGCACTTGCTGCCTATCACATGAACTCCGCAAGTAGTACAGGTGCCGAGGAGCCTGAGATGATGCAGAGTTTCATTCTTTAAATTTGACGTGCTTTATGATAGCCTAGCCTTTGGTTCATTATGTATTGAACGTGGGTATGCTTTGGAGTAGATGACTGTAAAACATGCAGAGTTCCAGGTCATCACCTAGAGTCCCTTTCCTTAGATCTCAACTTAGATCTGAGTGGAGACTCAGGCCCTCATTTTAAATAAATACCCTACTGAAACTTTTTAAAACATTGCTGAAACTAAGCTTTCTCATAGCAACCAAAAACAAACAAAAAACCTTTTTGTAAATTAATGAACAAAAGATTTTGAGTAGAATTATAATTGTGTATGTTTTGAGTTATTTATATAGTACCTCCAACTTACAGTATGCTAAAGGGAGAAAGCAGTGAGTCATGAGACGGAGCTAGAGTTGTGCATTCGGGTGCAGTGCTAGTACTTGCTTCTTTGCTGAGCTTCAGGGTAAAGGTAGGCATTGTTTTCTAGTAGAGAAGCCACAGGCACTTGAAGGAGGACTTGGGTTTTTTGTGCAAACAAGAATTAATCCATATATCTCATATGTTATCTATCTCTACACAGTCAGAATGGTGATGGAGCACCTCTGGGCCTTGCCTTCCGGGGTAGGATGCCAGAACTGTTATCATGACCACATCCCTCAGACACAGTTCTGGGGAGTGTAAGCATTGCTGACTATTATGTGGTACAGACTTGACTATCTCTGTTCTTTTGTTATTTTCAGTAAAGGAGGGGGAAAGAAGCCATATAGATGGTTGACATCTGTTTTTTGATATCGAAAAGGGTGACATGTGGGATATGCTTTGTCAAAACAGAACAGTTAAATCTTGCTCCATTACTGCCATTTCATTAAATATCCCTCCATGGCAGCAGTTCTCAAGCTGTGGATCGTGGCCTCTTCGGCAAACCCCAGTATCCAAAAATATTTACATTACTATTCATGGCAGTAGCAAGACTACAGTTATGAAGTAGCAACAAAAATAATTTTATGGTTGGGGGTCAGCACAGCATGGGGAACTGTATTAAAGGGTCTCAGTGTTTAGAAAGGTGAGGACCACTGCTCTATGGACTTTTCCTTCCAGCCCCACGGCCAGTCTGCCCTGCAGTTATTTACTGAACACCCGTTATGTACTGGGTACTCCAGTGTCTCTTCATGAGAACAGTTTAGAAGTGACTGCTGAGAAACACAGATGTAGTTCACTCCAGATGTGTGATAAACACACCTGTCTCTTCACCTTTACAAAGAATACAAATAGCATCTCCACTTTTAAAGTGTATTTGGAATACATTTAACATTTGTTTATAGTTCTTTAACATAGATCTACTTCAAATCATCTAGTTTTTTTGAAAATTATGTGAAATGCTTACAAGCTAAATCATCTGTTTGAATTATCTTCAGGATACATTCTATACCCAAGCTTTGCAAACCTGTGTCTGATGCTACTGATCAGGTTCAGATTCTAGACTTCTCCTTCACTGTTCAGTAGCAGCTCCTCAGTTGAACATCCTCTTAGGAGTATTTTTTTAGTTCATTGTGGGTTTGGATTTGCATACTTGTTCAAAATACACCTACCTGGAAGTAGGTACTTAGAGAATGTAGATACTTCAGGGCACTTTTGGTTTTTCAAGACAAGGTTTGTAGCCTTGGCTGATCTGCAGCTCGTTCTATAGACCAGGCTGACCTCAAACTCACAGAGATCCTCCTGCCTTTACCTCCTGAGTGCTAGGATTAAAGGTGTGTGTCATCACTGCCTGGCAGGGCACTGTTTTTACACAGTGTAGAGTGAAACTGTAAGGGGGCCAGAATGTGAGTAAACACTTCACACTTTGAGGGCTGCTTGCTAGAATAACTGCTTAAGTCTTCCACTGTGCCAGTAAGGTAACCTCAGATAATACATATATGAACCAACTTGGAATTTTCTAGTGCAACTTTTTAAATGTTTTTATTCTTTGACAATTTCATACATGCATTCAGTGTATCTGGTTATGTCTACTCCTACCCCTTCAATACAACTTTTATGTATGAACATTAAAATTTAAATTTCATATGCTAATACCGAATATTGCCTATTGTTTTTCTCCCTTAGCGATCCGAAATCTAAAAAACGTATATGTAGCCAGATCTCTGTGAGTTTGAGGCCAGCCTGGCCTACTGAGTGAGATCTAGGACAGGCACCAAAACTACACAGAGAAACCCTGTCTCGAAAAACCAAAAAACAAACAAACAAAAAAAGTATATGTATTTAACTCACATGCCATGAAAAAATAGGTGGTAGGCTGTATTTGGTTCAGGGATCATAATTTGCCAACACTTGGGATAGATCTGTAATTTTGCTATCCATGAGAGGTAGCTATTTGTTTATTTCAGAGTTTGGCTGATATTTCAGCAAGGTGCTTTTAACTGTCTGACCAACACCAGCTTTCATCCTTTTTTTTTTTTTTTTTTTTTTGGTTTTTCGAGACAGGGTTTCTCTGTGTAGCTTTGCGCCTCTCCTGGAACTCACTTGGTAGCCCAGGCTGGCCTCGAACTCACAGAGATCCGCCTGGCTCTGCCTCCCGAGTGCTGGGATTAAAGGCGTGCGCCACCACCGCCTGGCCAGCTTTCATCTTTTAAAAGTCAGATTCTATTACTTCCTCCTGAAAATTGTTTGGATGATCCTGGCCATGTTTTCTAGGAGTCCTCTAACAGTATTATAATGGGTTAAATAGTGTACTCTGCAACAGGTAATGTCTGCCTGAACCTGTATATAAGGCCTCAGTTTGGAAGAAGGGCCTTTTCTGCTCTATTGGGTGGAGGAGAGAAGCAGAGTGAGCCTGTCGGGATTAAAACTGCCACTCTAAGGTGTGATTTTGTGCGGTTGGCCAGCTGCTCATCTTGCCTTATTAAAGAGCGCATACAGACTTCGATTTCCTAACATTGATCACTGTCTCTTATAGGTACACGACAAAACATTTGAATGATGAGACTACCTCCAAGCAAATTAGGTCCATGCTGCAGTAAGCGCTGTGGAGCAAGCCCCTGCTGCAGATGGAGCACAACAGTGTTCTTCAGTGACCGAGAATGCAGTCTTTAGTGATTGCCATTAAATCTCCTTATTCTTGCTTTGGTTTCTTTCCTCTGTTCCTCTTCCCACTTTTTTAATCATGTTCTTGTTCTTAAGACTTCTTTTCTGTGCCAAAATCAGTAAAGTTATACTTTGAAAGGGATTTTGTCCTTTCAAAACAGGCCATCTAAGGCAGCTAATTATGCATTGCATTGAGGTCTCTACTGAGAAAAGTTCTGTGACTTGAACTAAATATTTTTAAATGTGGATTTTTTTTTGAAAACTAATATTTAATATTGCTTCTTCTGCATGGCAAAACTGCCTATTCTGCTATTTAAAACCCTCATGAATTTATTTTCTACTGCCGCTTTTTCATGTCCAGCCAAAATGAAATGTTTAAATTAACTGTGTTGTACAAATGGTACCCAACACAAACCTTTTTTAAATTAGTAAGACTTTTGTTTAAAGTTTTAAGTTTGCATTTTGACTTTTTTTTTGTGAGGATGTATGTTGTGTGTTTAACCTTTATTAACTAACGTTAAAAACTGTGATGTGTGCGTAGACTATTACGTATGCATGTTCATGTTCAAGAATGGCTGTTGATAAAATAAAAATCAGCTTCCTTTTTCTAAGTGTGGCTTGGTTTACTGAGGTTTCTGGAAGTTTTCCCTGTATATATTTCTGTGGAATGCATAGACACATTACATAATTTTTCTTTCTCTTAGAGGATAGCTATGTCTTTTTCAGTTGTATTTTTCTTTATTTTTGTCTATGTACATAAGTTTAACTGCTTTTAAACCTGTTGTATATAAGATGACCAGTGATTGTGTCATGAACTTGACTTCTGTTTTGATTTCATCTTGTGTGAGTGTAGTTGTAGAAGGAAAACCACACTTTCTCAGCTCTCAGTTTCAGGAGTGAAAGGGCAGCAACAGGAAGCACAGGGTGTTTCAGAAGTAAGGTGAGCCCTTGACATTGGAGGACAGTGAGCAATAAGAATACTTCCCAGAGGAAACGAAAGACTGCCATCTCACTAGTGGTAGAAAGCTACCATGGGTTTCAGTTTAAAATCATCAAACCTGAGTCGTGAAATTTATCATGGTTGAGAGAAGCTGCCTAAAGGTTGTCTAAATCAGTCTTGTCAGGGGTTTAATGACAAGGTGATCTGAGGTGTGGTACAGTAAAGTGGTTAACCATGGAAGAGGATCACAGGCTTTCCTCGGGGCCTTCTCCATCAGAGCACACAGCACTTGGTTCCTGTTGACTTCTCTGGCTTCCTGCCTACTCCTGTCTCACTTCACACCCTGTTCTCCAGCCAAGCGTAACTACTTGCTGTTTACAGATTGTTCCATGTGGTGTTGCTTTGTGACTCTGGTCTGGCTACAACCTGAATCTGATTTCTCTTTTCTCCCTCATGACTGTCTGACCAACACCAGCTTTCATCTTTTAAAAGTCAGATTCTATTACTTCCTCCTGAAAATTGTTTGGATGATCCTGGCCATGTTTTCTAGGAGTCCTCTAACAGTATTATAATGGGTTAAATAGTGTACTCTGCAACAGGTAATGTCTGCCTGAACCTGTATATAAGGCCTCAGTTTGGAAGAAGGGCCTTTTCAGGTGAATGTAAGGATCTGTGGATGACATCATCCTGCATTAGGGTGGGCCCTAATGCCATTGACAAATCCTGATAAGAGAAAAGAAGGGGAAACAGACACATTGGAGATCTTGGAAGGATAGAGGCAAAGGTGAACACCCTGAGCCGCAGAAGCTAGAAGATGGTCATGGAACAGTTTCCGGCAGAGCCTCCAGGAGGAACCAATCCTGTTGCTGTTTTTACTTCAGACTTCCATCTTCTATTATGGTGAAAAAATAAATTTCTATTCTATGCCACCTAGTTTGTGGTACTTTGTTACAGTCAACGTAAGCACTGAATACAACTGTCTCACAAAACAGCCTAGTGCTTCACACTTTTGGATCTTTTCTGATACTCTTGAAAAATTACAGTGTTGAGATGCTGTGGAGACTGAGAGCTTGAGAGAAGAGCCGTGTCCTATTCCTCCAGTGTCCCAAGGAAGGATCTTGCACAGTACCTAAATATGGATAGCTGCCAAGTTAGTGCTTGAATGGAGTGAATGAAATAGATGTAGTAATACTGCTGTGGCCTTTTCAGGTAACATGGTTCACACTCTGCATGTTGAAGATTAAGTGGGCAAAAAAAATCTTTAACTCTAGCCTAGGGGTCAGTAGCCCAGGCTCTGGGCCAATCCACCTTCTTCTGTACCTACACAGCCTGTGAATTAAGAATGATTTTTAAAAGATTGGGGGAATAAAGGATAACAAATGTTTTTTTAAAAGTTGAAAAAATATTTTGTAGCATGAGAAAAGTATATGAAATTCAAACTCCAGTGTTCATAAATAAAATTTTATTAAACATAGCCTCCTCATTTGTATATATATATTTATTATTTATGGCTATTTCCTCTTTGTAGCAGCTTGTTGTGACAAAGAGGCCATCAGAGGCTAAAGTGCATCCCTGCCCTGTACAGAAGAGCAGCAGGTCTGTTTGACAGCCTTGAGTAATAGGGGCACACTCCTGCAGTGTGATGGAGGAGCTGCCTTTGCTGGTGAATGGGCTCAGCCTCACATCTGATATTTGCCGTTCACGTAATACAAGGAGCATTGTTGGCTTGCACTGCAATTTTTTTTTTTTCTCTGCTTAGGAAACTTCCTTCAGAGTGAAGGATTCTGGGGTTGGGTGTCGTAGCACAGCCATAGCAGAGGCCAAGCAAAGGGTCTGTTTGCCCACTGGCCAGAGGTTGGCCCTGCTCTGCTGGTGGTAAATCTAACTCTGAAGCTTGCTTCCTCTTGCCCCTCTTGGTGTTCTAAAGTATGTCTCTGTCAGCACATCTCAGCCTGTTTTTGACCCCCTGTGCCTCTGGTTTAAAACAGTTGGGTAAAGCCGGGTGGTGGTGGCGGCGGCGGTGCATGCCTTTAATCCCAGCACTTGCAAGGCAGAGAGAGCCAGGCGGGTCTCTGTGAGTTCGAGGCCAGCCTGGTCTACAGAGTGAGATCCAGGACAGGCACCAAAACTACACAGAGAAACCCTGTCTCAAAAAGCCAAAAAAAAGGAAAACTAAACAAAACAATAGGGTAAGCTATCCTGTCGTCTCTTCTACCAAAGCACACTCATGACTATCTTTCTCCACTATCTTTTCTTTAGTCCTTGTCATAGATGTGGTGCTTTCAACTTCTGTTTCAGTTGACAAAGATTTAGATTAGCATTCTGGATCTCTAAGGTTACTGCAAATATTTTAGGCTTGTGAGTATAACTGGCATCTCTGTGCTCAAATCTAAATTTTTGAGTTGAAATACTTCTTGTTGAAATGCCATTCTGGTTCCATTTGAGATTGCAGTAACTGCCTTGCCAGAAATTCTTAAAGGAATAGCCCATCAACTGAATAAGAATGGAAGACAGTTGGAAAGACCTGTGGGTTCAGAGCCCTGACACCCGAGCCACAGCGCTGCGCAGCACTCTTCCTCATCAGTAGTGAAGGAGAAGTGACTGATACCAGACCACTAGGATGTCTCATATGTCTTGTCAGCAAGGCAGTAATAATGTGACAAGTTACAACAAAGTTCGGTCAGTGAGCTGTGTATTCAGCTTTCTCCCTTAACTTGGTGTGACTTTGGTTAAATGTCCCCAAACAGGAAACATGGTATGTCTTCAGAGAGGGTCTCAATAAACCAGTAGTCAATGCCTGGGATGTTTACAGGCAAGGAGTGCTCAGTGTTAGTATGTTGACCATTATAGCTTTACAATCCACTCCTGGTGTCCTGCCTAGTAATGTAGATTTTTCATTCTAGAGAACACTACTGGTTCAACTGCTTAGTTGAAGGTGCTAGACCTGTACAATCTGAATGAATAGATCTTGTAATGGATAAATGGGAATATTCTGCATGGATATTCAGTTTTCTGATTAGCAGACAATTAGCCTGTACATTTGAGACAATTTTTAAAGATTTTTAAGTATGTGTATATGTATGTGTCTTTGTGCATATGTGCACATCAGTGTGAGTCCCTGAGGAAGCCTAAAGAAGGCATTGGGTCCTCTAAAGCTGGAATTACATGTAGTTATGGACTGCCCAGCACAGGTCCTTTGTAAGAGCAGTGTGTGCTCTTAACTGGTAAGCTGTCTCTCCAGATCTCTAAACACATTGTTTTTTTTTTTAATTTACCATTTTGCAGTGCTTGGGGTGTGGAACCCAGGATCTTTCACAGGCTAAGTACTCTACCACTGAGCTACTTGCCCAGTCCCTGCAGATGCTTTTAAATGGCAAGCTCCAGTGAGTGAGAGTTGCTTCAGGGAGCATGTTGACAAACCATCTTTAGTGAGTAAGTAGTACTTGTCATAGCCACAGCCTGTGTACTAGGATGACCAGGTAATGAGTTTTCTGAGTGTGTAGGGAGGGCATTCTGGGCTGAGGAGGTCTCTTACTGGCATATATTGTCCATGTCTGTTCTGATCACCTACACAAAATGCCAGAATCTTTTTTTTTTTTTCTTTTTCGAGACAGGGTTTCTCTGTAGCTTTGCGCCTTTCCTGGAACTCACTTGGTAGCCCAGGCTGGGCCTCGAACTCACAGAGATCCACCTGGCTCTGCCTCCCGAGTGCTGGGATTAAAGGCGTGCGCCACCACCGCCCGGCTCAGAATCTTTGAAATACTGTTTCCTGAGAAGTGCTAATGGCTTACCCATGGTGTGGGAGAAATATCATAGCTTTTGTAAGTCAAGTGGGCCTGGACTACCTGGAGCTGCCTACGTGTCCTTAGAGCCACTGTAATGCCACTGAAGCTGTCATCTCCTTGCCTGTTAACTAGTGTGATGTTCATGAGCATCTCATGAGTTGGTGCTGCTGAAGAGTTAGTATTTAAGTTACAGAGCCTCACAAGGCACACAGCATACCAAGGTGCAAGTTTTCACACCTGAAAGTAGAGTCACTATAAAATGAGTCCACTCGTAAAATTTGGCTTTTTTACGGTATGTGGGTCCTGTCTGATGCTCAACTCAGCATTTTTTAAAAAGATTTTTTTTGTATAAGAGCATTTTGCCTGCCTATAAGTGTACCATGTGTATGCAATACTCCCACCAGATGAGGGCATCAGTCTCCTGAAATTGCAGTTATAGATGATTGTGAGCCCCCATGTGGGTGCTGAGAACTGAACCCAGGTCCTTTGCAAGAGCAGCCATTGCTCTTAACCGCAGAGCTATCTGCATAGTCCAATTGAGGATACTGAGGGCCTTTAAATAAGCTGTTCTAATCTTCTGAGATAACCCCACCCTCCAGTCCCTGCTAGGGAGGAAGCAGAGCTGTTTGATCAGTTTTCTTGACAGGTACAATCCCAGGGGCTAGTCATCTTCCAGAATGCTGTTTCTTCTTGTTGCCAGCTTCTGGCAAACTGTTACCCAACACAAGGAAGTGATGTGTGAGTCTCGTTCAATACCTGCTTCCCGGGTGGCCCTGTCCTCCATTCCCTAAGAGCTGGTCCGGCACTGATATTTTGCCAGTGCTTTGACCTTAGTTCACTAGGGTCTATGTTACTATGGAAGATGCCAGGGGTTGTGGGAAAGCTTGAGCCAGCTGAGAGTGCAGTTTGCAGCTTAGAGCGAACAGGGATAGGGCTCATTAAAGAAGGTATCTTGTGAGCCAAACCAGGAAGAAGAGAAGGCAACCCTCTGCAGTGAAGGAACCTAGGGAAGGCAGCCAACAGCCAAGGACAGGACAGCATCGGGCCGGAAGCTGAGGGGAGAAAGGGAGGTGCGGCCAAGATGAGTGGAGCAGAACAGAGAGCCTTTGAGGCCATTTGAGACTGGCTGTGCTCCTTAGGCTTCTCTGAGGCTTGGAGGAAAGAAATAGTATGATCTATTTGAAAGACTTCATTCCAGCTGTCCCAAGAGATTGAGGAAACAGAAGCAGGAGCCAGTTAAGCAGTAGAATCATCAAGGCAAAGACTGACATTGAGTTGGCAATTGGTGTGGGAGAAATGACCAGGTTTAGGGTGTGACTTAAAGAGAGGTGCAATAGGCTTCCTCGATAAACTAGCTGTGGAGGGACAAGGTGGAGAATAAATTGGGCCTTTGGCCTTAGTGCCTGGAAGGATAAATGGAAATGGAAAATAGGTTGGGGACATTATTCTGTTCAGCAGGGACTACCCACAGGGATATGCGAGGGCCCAGAGAGAAGCAAGAGGTTTACAGAAAGGACAGCTGGATGGCCAGGTAGAGGAGGTGCTATAGCACTCGGTCTAGCCCCTTTCTACTCTTTGACCTGTGACTTCCCTGGGTTCCATTCTCCAGGTCTGCAAGAGTCAGTCTCTCTCTCCTCTCATCTCTCTCTCTCCTCTCTCTCCTCTCTCTCTCCTCTCTCTCTCTCTCTCTCCTCTCTCTCTCTCTCTCTCTCTCTCTCTCTCTCCTCTCTCTCTCTCATCTCTCTCTCTCTCTCTCTCTCTCTCTCTCTCTCTCCTCTCTCTCTTTCTCTCTCTCTCTCTCTCTCTCTCTCTCTCTCTCTCTCTCTCTCTCTCTCTCTCACACACCACACACACACACACACACACACACACACACACAGTGGGAACCCCTCATTGGTGAATGTAGGTTTTACCAGAAATAGTCCATCACAGAAGAAACCCACATCTAGGGAGATGCTAAGAGAGACCCAGCCACTGCACAATTAAGGAAGACTGGGAAGAAACTGGTCTATCAGGAAGGGTCCAGTTTCTACTTTTTTTTTGTTGTTGAAGACTCCTCTCCTGACTCTCCCAAGCTCCAACAGGTGCACTTGGCTGGAACCTGAGCAGCTTGACCCATTTGTCACGATATGGTGGCAGGGGAGGTGGGAGGGGAGCATAGCTGCAGGAAATGTAAGGCAGGACAGCCTGTCTAAGTCCTGTGTTACTCTGGAGAGCTGCTTCTCCGTGTGGCCTCATTTACCCTGCACCATACAATAACAGCACTCTTGGAAGCATGCCACACATAATTTTTGGAAGTTCTTTCTGCCATCTTCTGCTCTAGGAATTCACAAATCTTGTACAATGTCTGATTTCACCTGAGCACAGAGGGGCTATACTGTCTAAGCTACACGGCTGGGAGTGGTAACTGAGCAGGGTACAGAGACGAACTGTTCTGCAGCCAGCCTGCCTTGGTCTCAGAAAGAATCCTAGTCCAGGGTGTGGCCCTGGCCTACCTTGTTCTGAATGGGTGTTTCGAATGCCTGAAAGCAGTCCTGAGTGGGGTGGGGCCTGTCCTGGTGAAAGCCTGCCAACAGCTATGGCCACTAGAGAGTCAGTGACATCCTAGGCTGCCAGGAGTCAGGTTGGATGTGACCCTAGGGACAGATCAGTGTTCCCTCTTCACTAGAAAGCCCAGGGCTTAGGTCAGCCAGTAGCTGCATTCCTGTGAGGCACCCATAGAGAGCCGAGAGCTGAGGCATCACTGTGGGGTCCCAGGTGAGCTGGCAACTGGGTTGCTCCAGCTCCAACCCACAGCTCTGCACCAGGCTTAGGATGAGGACCACATCTTCACTCTTCAGAGCACTGAGGACTCCTGTTGGGACAGGACAGGTTGTTTCCTCCATCTGGTTACAGTTGTGTTCCAAGATGCTTGCCACCTGCAATAAACCACTTAGAAGGAACACAGGAACCACCTAGGCCTTGGGTGATGGCACCCACCCTCAAGCAGCAGCCAGGGGCCTCTGCTCCCCGTCCGCAGCCAAGCTGTGGCTTTGGGGTTTATGCAGTTTTGCATTTGGTCCCGAAGACTGTGCAACCCTATTTCTACTCCTGTGCACACTCCCCTTGGCCGCTGCTGACTGCAGTGAGGCATCCCTACCACTCCCCAGAACTGCTATCCTGCCAGGCTGCCCACCCCTAGCTAATGGACTTCAAGAGTTGTCTGCACCAGAAAGTGCCTATATGAGCTCATTCTAATGCCATCCATCATCAACGGGAGGAGATAGTTGGGTGGGGACATCCTCTTTCCCTTCACGTTTTCAGGCTTGGCAGAGAACATGAATGATGTGGATATAGAGAGCATTTCAGGATGTAGAACAAAGTGGGATCCCCTGCAAGAGGCTACTCAGAGCTGTAGGCTGCAAGGCCAGACCCAGAGCCTGCTCCCTCTGCACAAATGAGCTGCAAACAGGCTCTTGGGGAATGGAGGCCAGATCTTCCTACAGAGCATCTCCATCTGCTTCCCACATCTCTCCCTGCACCTCCCTGAATCCCAGGACCCCCCTTCTTTGAGGCTCTCACCAGTTCCAGTTCCTCAGCTAGGATTCGTCTCTCTATGGACTGGGCCAACAGGCAATGCTGGGGTTCATTCAGTGCTGTGAGAAATGGGGGGAGGGAGGGTTACCAAGTAGAAGAGGTCCCAGGTGCTCTGTATCGTGTCCTTTCTCTGTGGACTCTAATGGAGGAAAAGCTTAGCTAGTTCTGGCACCAGAGGTGCTGTCTTTCCCAAGAGACTCTAAAAGGGTAAAAACTGTGTCACCTGGAACAGTCTATCAAGGGCTGGCAATGGACATCAGATGCCATATGCTCTTGAGCAATAGTGATTAACCAGGGCCTGGCAAGACTTGGCCAAGGCTACTCATATTGTTAATGCAGACCTAGGGCCAGAAACTCAGCTCAGGAAGCCCACACCCAAGCATCCCCAGCTTCGGCATGTGGTCCTCACTCTTGTTCACCTTTTAGGATCTCCTTCCGATCCCTGACCCTCTTACCTGCTAGGGCTCCCAGAATGTAGAGGATAGCCCTGCCGCTCGACCGTGACAAGTTGCCTGTGGAGTCTTGGAGGATGCTTAAGACAAAGCCCCCAGGGCCCCCTAGCTGTGCCAGCAACCCAGCGTCCAGAGCCTGTTCCAGCTGCAGGGTACAGATGTGAGGAAGAGGTCCTTGTTCATGCATTCAATGCCCCTGTCCATCCAAGGAGTCATTCCTGCCTCTGGGTTACCCATGAGTGTGCAAAGAGCTGGGTTTGGGCTTGAGCTTGTCTGAACCAGATTCCTCCTAACTGGGTGGGCCACTGGGGGGCTGGGCTTCAGTGTTTGGCACAGTAGCTGACACTATGGCATGCCAGTCCATGCATGGCCAACCTCACATTCCCGGCAGTGTGTGTGAGAGCCCCAGGGAAGCCCTGTCAGCCACCATGCCCTGTTCCTGCCCCTTCTACCCTTTCCCTGTCTGTCTGCCTGGATCTGGGGCCTTTGCCAAGTCTGGCCAGTGTGCCCATCACCGTGTCCTCCAGCTCCTGGAGTGCCTGGCGGTCTTGCAGCAGCTCCTGGAGGGCACCCAGCAATGTGTCCCGTAGCTCTGAGGACAGTGTGGCCAGGTCCTGCAACTGGCCATGCGCTTGGTCCTGCAAGCTCTGGAAGTTAGACTCCTCCTCTGAATCCTGGATGAAGGCTAAGCCTGTAGAGATCAGGTGGACAGCCACTTAGTCTTGGGCCCAGTCACCTGTTCAGGGGTTCTTTGTGCTCCCAGCCTCCCCAGGAGATCCAATGTCCCAGGAGTGGCCCTGTGCAGCTCCCTCACACAAAAGTACATATGTGCTACATGTACTCACCTCATCTCCTCCTCTGCACCTTCACCAGACATTTGCAGGGCATTTTGCCTATACCAGGCAGTCACAGGTCTTAGCCAGCCTTCCTATTCTTTCTCCCCCCCCTTCACAGTGCTCCCAGGGAAAGAACAAAGTCTGACCCCGCTTTCTCTTCCAGGGCTGCTAGGCCTCTCTAATTGTGGGAACCCTGGCTGGCTCAGGCCCAGCCTCTGAGACTCTGGCTCTCATCCTCAAGGCTGGAGAAATAAGTGTCAAGCTCTATGTACAGGAGAGGGAACCAGGGTTGGAACAGTTAGGGGTCTCCAGTGGGGCAACTCCGCCATTCATTCCTCTTGACAATTCTGACTCATTTTACCTTATCGGGTGGATCACCATACAGCATTGGGAAGGGGCCACAGAACCATGTCAGGACAGTCACCCATCTTGGGTAGTCACTCACCTCTCCGGGTGTCCCCGCAGAGCTTTCTCTCAGGGAAGTGAAGGACAGCTGTATGGAGCAGAGCAGGGGACATACAGACAAACCCAAACATGCGGGACATGGTCAGGGAGGCTGCATCTCCGTGCTGGCCAGCAGGGGTGGCATATTGCAGGGTCTCCCACATGCCATCCTAAAGCAGCCCAAGCCCTGCTAGAGAGTGACAGGGGCATGGCCAGGGCCACAGGTGACAATAGCTGACTCCTGAACTCATGCTTTTCCCTTCCACGGGGACAAAGAAACTGTCTCCATTTGCTACCTTCTCTCACTCCAAGGCCAACCCTAAAGATCCAGGGGCCAGACCGAGTGCCCAGAGCTGGGGCCATCTAGGAAGTTTCCAGATGCGTCTCTGGTTTAGGACATGGATGGGGGCAGCGAGGCCCACTGTGCCTCTCGGCTCAATTTCTGATGACAGCTATGCATGCAGAGAGACTTTGCTCCAGTTATGTAACAAAGGCCCTCCTCCCCCTAGTAGAATTCAGCCCCACCCCAGGGCAAGCTGAGGCAGACTGGGTTTAAGCCTCCCCAACATCTGACCTCAGCAGCCTTCTACAAAAGTTAACTCTTGTCAGGTGGCCTGACCAACTTATTGCTCAGCCAGTGGGGAGCATTGGGACTTCCTTGTCTCTTTTGCTCCTCACTGCTCTCTGGTATTTGACTGTTGGTAGGGGTTGGGGGGGGGATAGGGAGCAGGGATGAATAGGCTTACCCCAGCCATCTTCCTCCACCACCAGCTGCAGAGCTCTGTAGGCCAGTATACTGCCCTGTGGGATGCTCACCGCTTTCTCTGTGTCCATGTGGCTCTGAATCTGGACCTGGGAGGGAGGCAGGGAGAAATGGACACCAGGCCTCGGGCCTCCGGAAGCTTCAGGAATGGGTTTTGGAGGCAGATAGGAAGACTATCAGGGTCTTGATGAGAAGATTCCTGGAGCGTTAGTGACAGGTAGGTGAAAGTGGGGCCAGAGGGACCCCTATGTGAGGCAAGAACACAAAATATGCCTGCATGGAAGATATTTCCAGAAAATAACCCAAGACATTCTAGACTTAAACAATGCACCCGGCTTGATAAAATTTTAAGAAGCTACACAACAAAGACATCAGTGTGTTTTGTCCCATTAAACGTGTTACACTTTCTTTGGGACACTTACTCGGGAAATGCTGAGGTGGAGGCATGGAGGCATGGCTAGTCTATCTAGACTCCACATGGCCACCAAGTCCCTTTCTCCCATTTTCCACATGGAAACCAAGACTTCGAGAGGTAAAGATATGAGAGGAAGGCATTGGCCCTGGAAGCCGGGCTTCCATGACGGTTGGCCCATCGGCAGAACCATTTCTGCCTGCTCCCACAAGAAAGAGCTACTTTCAAGTAATAGTCACACAACTCATACACCTTCAGCAGGCAACATGATCATGCTGGATATAGGCTACCATCTTGCAGCAAGATGCGGTCACATAGCCAAGTTTCGGCTGACAGGACAGTGATGTGTGCCAGTTTTGGGGAGCATTGCTCCCTCTCCCCTGTCCTGTGGTCTGGGATGGATATGGTAACTGTAGATACCATAGCCATGTTGGCACATGAGGTGAGAGCCATACACTGGGAGTGACAGAATTGAAATAATAGGAAGACCAGATCCCGGGAAACTGCAGTCTACCACTGGGACTCTTTGGCTCCTGTCTGGACTTTTGTGTAAGCGAAAAATGCTTTTCTTCTTTGAGTCAATGTTATTTTTCAATTTCCTCTCACTTGCCAGTAGATCGTCACATCTGCTGGGGGACCAAGTGATTAGAACGGCAGCCATCTGCATTTACAGGCTGCGCTGCTGTTCAACTGCGCTGCTGTTCAAATGTGTGTTGAACACATAGGTCAGACTTGAACTTGGATCCCACCACTTACTGGCAGTGTGGTCCTCAGCAAGGGACTTCCTTTGTGCTCTGGTTTCCTCAGAGCACAAAGAAGCAGATGTAATAAACATACCTCCTGGAATCATCAGGATGAATGGATAAGGCCTGTTGAATGCTTACAGGCAACACTCCATCATGGGAGGGAGGCTCTCCTTAAAAGTGGTCCCTGTTTGTAGGCATCTGCATTGGTGGGCATGCTAAGGGAATCTGCCACCTGTGCCTGCAGCTGATACGTGGGAGACAGTGAGCCCCAGAGCCCTAGAATGCTTGTGTGAAGCCAGCCTTTCTATGTGACCCTCTATGAGAGGCTAAAATAAAAGACCTAAGAACAGAAGTTTGTAACCAGATGTGCAAATCCTCCTGCCGTGAAGGACACATGCAGGGATCATCTAGAAAAACGCAAACTAAACCAGGGATTGTGTGCTATTTCAGACCCATGATAACTCGAGTAGGGGCCCATGCTGCCGCCAGGTCTGTAACACTGGGTACTCAGAAAGTAGAGATCACTTGAGTCCAGACTGGGCAATATCCTAAGACCCTGACTCAAAACAGAAGGAAGGAGGGGACAACTGGGGAAGGGCATGAGAAACCTCAACAAAAACTTGTGCAGGCAGCGCTAAGACCATGTCAACTTCCAAGGACAGCATTCCCCTTCAGGGTAGGGAGGCTTCCAGGCAGAGCACCTTCTGAGGCTGATGGTATTCAGTATTCCAATCCCACTGTCTGCCATGTACCACCATCTACCACGCCGGCACACTGCCCACACCTGAACATGGCCCAGCTGTAGGAGGGACAGCTGCCCAGCTCCTAGCATTTGGCCCTGGCTCTGAAGTACGGCTTCTTCCAGTGTCTCCACAGCCTCTGTCACCACGTACAGGTTCTCCCTCTCCTTCCGGCTCTGTAGTTCCTGGAGGAAGGAGGGTCTAGGCGACCTCAGTTTCCTGGGAGGGTGTGGGAAGCAGAGAAGAGAGAGCTGGGAGGGCTGTCTGTCTGTCTAGCTGGGGAGCCCAAGGCCTTTCCGGGCTTGGTGCTATTTGCGCTGATCTCAGCAGCTTGTGGGGACAATGTGTTGGCATTGTGGGGCGGTAGGTGGGTGGGGGTGGGGTGAAAGGACGGCTTTTCTAAAGTGAGTGGGGATGGCCCCAAAAGGGGGAAACTGCGGAAAGCCTGGAACAGTCCTCTTCAAGGTTACAGATATCCAGACAGATCACAATGAGATTTAAAATTTGGGAGATAATATTAAAATTGATGAAAAAGACCCGGATTGCTAACCTGGGGAACCTGGCAGCAGCTGAGTAGCCACCAGCCTCACGAAAGTGTCTCCAGTTTGCCATAGCACTCCCTGGTGCCTCATACTCCTATAGTTCTGTTTCCTTTCCTGGCCCTGGATGTATCTGGCCTAAACCCTATGAGCCTCCACATGGGCCCAGGGCTCACTCTCATGGTGGGCTCCTGCACCCTAACCTTGCATATGACTTGTCAGGCCGCAGGCTGGCAGTACCCTTGGCTTCTCCCTCACACCTGGAGGATCTGTGCCCATTGACCCCAGCTGGCAGTCCCGCTGCCAAGGAACCTTTCCTGGCTCTTACCTCTTCTCAAGCAGCGTCTCCCAGGTGCAAGGGGGAACCCAGAGTGTCTGCACAGTCAAGGCAGAGATGCAGGTGGTCTTGCTGTTTCCGCTCACCTGGCCCTGAAGCCCAGTGCTCAGGCTCACAGCCCCTGTTAGCCCTCCTGCCACCTTCTCCCAGACGTTGATAGGGCTGCTGTGGCTCACCTCTGCAGAGAAAGAAGCCCATACTACAGGTGCCTGGCAGGGGAAGGAGGCAGGTTGCAGGGTGGCCCAGGGTGCAGTAGCCTCAGTCAGGTCTCAAAATGGCTGCTAGCACTTATGCCTTGTGTGTGCCAAGCAGAAGCCGCTGAGCTCTTGGAGCCTCAACGTCCTCATGTGTATGCTGCGAAGAAAGAGCATCATGTGCTGTGGGATGTCTTTCTGTATGCTGTGAATATGTGTTGCTCTGATTGGTTGATAAATAAAGGTGCATTGACCTATGGCAGGGCAGGATGAGGTTAGGTGGTACATTTAGACTGAAGAGGAGATGAAGAAGGGTGGAGTCAGAGCAGATGCAGCCGGCCACTGAAGGAGCAACAAGATGCCAGCAGACCGGTAATGCCATGGTCACATGGCAACATAGAGATTACAGGAGTGGGTTAAAGTAAGTTGAAAAAGCTGCCTAATATAAGCTGACCCATAGGCCATACAGTTTTCAAGTAATAGAAGCCTCTGTGTGTTTACTTGGGACCAAGCGGCTGCGGGACTGGGAGGGACACAGGGAAACTTCAGATTACAATCATGGGCTTCCTCTTAGGGGGATTTGAGGGTGAAAGGTGGATTTGCCAGTGTGGTCTCTGGCACAGAAAGCCTGGAATCCATGGTAGCCTTGATAGTGGATTAAACTTGCTGTTGGGGCTGGAGAGATGGCTCAGTACTGAGAGTACTTGGCTCCAGAGGACCTGATTCAGTCCCTAGCACCCATGTTGGCCCGTTCACACCCACTTGTTGCTGCAGGGGGGGTCTACACCCTCTTTTGGTCTCTGAGCACCTGCACTCATGTAGTACGTGCGCGCACACACACAGAGAGAAAGTAAATCCTAAATAAAATGAAATAATTGTTCTAGAACTAGACTCTGTGTGTGTAGTGTACACACACGCATGGCGAGGAAGTAGAAAGAGGGGACGAGATCTAAGGGTGGAAGGGAAGAATGGGAGTAAGGGCATCTTAGTGGCATGAAGGAGAAGGGAGCACTGTCTGGGAGGAGGGGGACCAGCAAGAGGAGGGGAATGGTTGGGGAAAGGTACACAAATACAAACAAATGAATATACATGTATCAAGTGGCATGATGGGTGCTCAGAGCATAAGCCTGACCTGATGACCTGGGTTTGATCCTGGGCCCCACGTGGTGGTAGGAGAGAAGGGACTCCTGCAAGCTGCCCTCTGACCTGCACGTGGGCACTGTGGCACACCACACAACACCCCCAAGGAAGTATATATTTAAAAGTATATGTATATTTAAATATACTTTAAAAAAATCTGTTCAAAAGAAAATGACGAAACTCACTGTTTTGTACACTAACTTAGAAAATTAATAAAGACAAACAACGATTGTTCGCTATGACTTATTTCCCAGGGAGGAACACAGGAAGAAATGAGCCTTTCTTGTGTACACACAGCCACAGTGACATGGCTATGAGGGCCATGCCTCTGCCAGCCTCACCCAGGGGTCTTCCGGCACCAGGGTAGAAGCCTGTTCATTTTTCTCAGCACATTCATCTGCCTCCCATGGGAGTCCCACTCTGCTCCGCAGCAGCCTCCTTATAGAAAATACCTGGGTTAGGGCAGCCCGGCTCCAGCACGTCCAGGAGGGAGAAGTCTGTGGGGATGAGCGGGGTGTCCCAAGGCCAGAGGTAACGCTTGTGCTTCTTCCTCAACAGGCAGAAGGGGCGCAGGCGAGGCGAGCTGTTCAGGCTGTCCACGGGCACCAGCTCGCCCTTCCTGCCCAGCTCTCTCACCAGGTTCTTTGTGGTCCTCAAGAACAAGGATGGCATGCTCCTTAGAAGCAAGGGACATTATCATCCAGGGCTGGCTATGGGAGGGTTCGGTGACAGCTGCCAGCTGGAAACAGAGGAGCGAAGACTGGGAGCCCAGGCTGGCCGCCTGAGTCACACCTGGTCTAGAGCTGGGTTCCCAACCCCGGTCTTAGAGTAGAAGCCACAGCTGGCCTAAAACACCCTTCTAGGTTACCCCAGCGGACAACATTGGAGCTCGAGAAGTTCAGGGCCTTAGACTCGCTTCTCTGGGTTATGGCTGTTTGTTTGGGAACACCCCTGAATCCCTCCGTGCCTTGTAATGAGGTGGTTTAGTCACATTTAGAAAATGCCTCCTCAGTGCATCTCTGTGAGGACTCAGTTAACTGTAAAGACCTTCAGCAACTGGCCTAGGTCCATAGACTGTGTCTTTTTGCATTCTGGCCCCACTTTCTTTCCCAGAGGCACTGGGGATCCAGTGTGGTCTACAGAAGGAGGAGCTGGGTTGAGAGGGGAGCAGGAATCCTACTTGCCTTCGCTGTGCTTGTACAAGTTCTTGTGCGGAAGGATCTAGGATGCGACAACAGCTTCCTCTCTGAGCTCCAGCGGCATTTGAAGGTATCTTTCTCTGCACTTGGTGTTGAAGCCAGCACCTCCCTGCGGTGGGGTCCGGGATCCACTGGTTTGTTGCATGTGCCGGGTGTCGATTTTAGGATGAGCCTTGAGCTGCAGGCGGGGAAGAGAAAATGAACCAGGGCAGCTGGGAGCTGTAGAAGAGAGCCTTGCACACAGCCCTGGTGACCGTGGGAGGTGCCAGGTCCATGTCTCTTCGGGGCAGTGCCTAGCTAGGCTCTCACAGTTATGTTAGGGATTCTGAGAAATGTCTGAATTTGTTTTAAAATAGGAAGACGGGAAATAGAACCTTTTAAGCCTAAGTATGTCTCAATACTAAAAAATAAGATATTAGTATATTCTTTTTTTTTTTTTTTTAAGACAGGGTTTCTCTGTGTAGCCCTGTCTGTCCTGGAACTCACTTTGTAGACCAGGCTAGCCTCAAATTTGGAAATCAGCCTGCCTCTCCCTCTTGAATGCTGGGATTAAAGATGTGCGCTACCACAGCCTGGCAAGATATTAGTATATTCTTTACCACAACAGCATTAAATGATATTTTTAATATTTCTGTGGCAGCAGTGTCTCAGTAAGGCGAAACTGCCTGGGTCCTCCAGCGTTACCCTCCTGGGATTCATAGGAAAGAGGAGTAGGATCTGGGCCCCTGGTGCAGGACAATGGCGATACTCTGCATGGCAGCAGGAGGGTTGGCCTAAGGGTCAGGGACCAGCCCAAGTCAGGGTTCACAGGGAGGAGGCAGGCTGACCAGTGCCCGAGGCCATAGGGTCCAGGAAAGCAGGACAGGGAGGGACCTAAGATGCTGGGACAAGGCTCTCAGCCTGCGCACCTCCGGGCAGCCAGGACAGCGGCTCATAGGCACCACCGGGCTGACTTCCTACCGGATGCCAAGGGCACTGCGCCTGCGCAACTCGGCTCTAGGCGCATGGAACTTCTTAGGATTGTGGGCCAAGGGATTCTAGCTCTTGCCTCTGCTGGGTCCAAAAAGCCCTTCGCTGGCTAGCTGGAGATTTCAACTCCTGAGCAAGGGGATGTTGCTTCAACTTGCCTCCCTAGCCACACGCACCCCTCCCCCAGTTCTCTCTTAGGATGACAACACCCAGCATGTCAGTCTATGGCTTTTCCTCCGTTCTGACACACGTGGTGACTCATGGGTGCTGCAAAACTCTCCACTTCTCCCTGCTTCCCCCATCCAACCACGAGGGAAGGGTGGGGTGGTGAGGGGGTGTTAACACTGCCCGCTTAGCCCTCATCCTCCATATGGGCACCCAGCCCATTCCTGTCTCCAGGCCTGCAAGCCATAGGAACCAGCCATTGCTTCTTCTTATTTGAAAACCCCAGCATGCTTCCACCAACAGTCCCTCCTTGACAGACTAGATCAATACAAGGAAGTCTCAGCCCTTGTAACAGGTCAAGTCGTCTCTACCCACTTCTGATCTTGCTGACCTGTAACCATTTCTTACAGCACCTCCACACCTGTCTGTCTCACTCTGGATTTTTTTTTTTTTAAATGCTAACCTGTGTTCACAGAATTACGAACTGCTTCTCTAGTCTGCCAAAGAGCCTTCAGCCACACCTTTTTCACTTACCTTCTCACTCTGGGAGCCACACCTGAAGACAGACTCAAAGCTCCCCTCCCCTTTATACCCCTCCCACCTCGCTGCGCGCTTCCTCGACCCTACTGCAAAGCAGCTTTTAGCCTAGGGGAACGGAAAAAAAAAAAAGATAAACTGAGCAAACTGGCTTCCAGTCTCACCTTCTGTTTACAGGAAATCTCTTACCAAATGCCTACGCTGTCTGCAGGGATCTGGGTGTCACTATTTTGCCTCTCTCAATGGTTAAATGTACTCATGTGATTTCAGTGTGGGGTCATTTTAGGTACATGTATGCTGCTATTTGTTATCTGTGCTCATAAATGTTATGTGTGCTCATGTGAGATTTTTTTTTCTATCAAAAGTAGCTAGTCCACCAAGGTCCAATATTCCATAACCACCCCCCACCTACTTAAACCTTATACAAAGCAATTAAAATATTTTAATCTTCCTCATGATGTTGGTTTGAAAGGAAATGGCCCCCAAAGGGAGTGGCACTATTAGGAGGTGTGGCCTTATAGAACTAGGTGTGGCCTTCTTGGAGGAAATGTGTCACTGTGGGGGTGGACTTTGAGACCTCCTATGCTCAAGCTTCACCCAGTGTCACAGTTCACTTTCTGTTGTCTGAAGATCAAGATGCAGATCTTTCAGCTCCTTCTCCAGCACCATGTCTGCCTGCATGCTGCCATGTTCCACCATGAAGATAATGGACTAAACATCTGAAACTTTAAGCTACCCCCAATGAAATGTTTTCCTATATAACAGTTGCTGTGGTCATGGTGTCTCTTCACAGCAATAGAAACCCTAACTAAGACACACATCTTGTAAAATTTTTATCCAAATTTTTAAAGTCCTCCACTTGGTGAAACTTATCTTTATGCAAAAGCCCCATTGTACTCTCTGAACTTGGTGGCCTGGAGCAGCTGAACCCTTCTTCCTTCCTGTTTCTAGGATTCTTTTTAAACTAGCCTATTCTGAAAGACTATGTACGAGGTTAGGCCACAGCCAAGGGGGGAAAGATAGAGTCCCTACCTACATTAGAATAACAATTAAGCCCTGCCCATGAGTTTTGAGGCATGCACCCCTTTTACAAAAAGAAATTGCTTTGCCTAATTACTTTCAATTGCTTTGTTCATGTGTTCCTTTGTGTGCCACCAGGTTTATTATTTTCCAACATTCATAAATATATATGTAAACTGTCTTTATGTATCAGAGGACCTGTGGTCCAGTGTTAAGATTATGAAATGCTATGTACCAGAACTCCATGGAGGATTCTTTTAATTGATACATTATTTTACATGATGTATCTACTGGGGTATTTAAAGGGGTTTTCCCAGCCATATGCTTCCAACTCTGGCCAGCTGCCAAAAGGATGGAACCCTGAAATGGCTAGACCTGGAGGCTCATGCAAAGTTACAGCAGCTCCGGCCCAATCTGAAAAGCACACATCCCACCAGGTGCTGGACAACTCATGGAAAGCAAAAAGGTGGCCGACTCAGTTAAAGTGGCATCAATGTGCTTGGGCTAGGGGGTGGAGATACTGACTCATTGGGGTTAATACCTGTGATTAGTTAATGTTATTATGTCTCATGATATTAATAAAAAGTACAAGGGAACCTCTAAGAAGAAAAAATATTAAAAGTATTTAAGAGTAAATATATTTTTAGTAAAGAAGGATTTTTCATGATAAGACTTTGTTCTAAGTTGGGATGGCTGGATATTTCCAGAATGGAAAAGATAAAGATGACGCTTGGAAGCCCAAGAAGTTCTGGAAGATCTGAGTGAGTTGTATAGGGAGTGTAAAATATGACACTTGTGTATATGACGACTATAGGTTATTACAATTTCTAAGGTCAAAGTTCAAACAAATATGTATTTAAATCAATAGGATTCTGTTATTATTCTGCTTTGGGTAATACTCATAAGGACTGGCTTTAGGGAAAAACGTGAATCCCATCAAGAGTCAATTAAAACTATTTGGGTTTTATTTAAGGTTGATCTAAATCTTATATAAAATGTTGTGGGGTATTTGTACAGCATGTGAAGGTGTATTGCTGTGATCGGTGTAATAAAAAGCTGAACAGCCAATGGCTAGGCAGGAGGTACAGGTGGCCCTTCTGGATAGAGAGAGATAAGAGGAGAAGGAATCTAGGCCCATGAGAGAGACATGAGGAGACACAGAGAAAGCCGGATGGGTGGCACACAATAGAACGTAGATTAATAGAAATGGGTTAACTTAAGTCATAAGAGCTAGTTAAAAACAAGCCTAAGCTAAGGCCAAGCTTTCATAATTAGTAAGTCTCTGTGTGTTGTATGTGAGCTGGAGGCCTAAAGAAAAATCTGACTACAATAAAAGTTAAAGTCTGCTTAGGGACAAACCCCTGATAGGTCATCCAATCCCAAGTGGTCATCCCTAAGCATATGCACATACAAGCAACACAAAATAGACTCAGCAGACTGTATTCATGTATAAATATGTGTGCATGTGTGCAACAATAATTAAAGATGAGTTCATTAATTCTTTAGGGAGTGCTAACAATTCTCATCAAATTCCCAGGGACCCCTTTTCCCAGTTGGGCAAGGATAGCTGCTTAGCTATAAAACTGGAGAGGAGTCTATGTGAGATTGAGGGATCTGTTCACATATTTCCATCCACTGCTGTTCCTTCTGGTCTCCATGGTGAAGAAGTTGCCCAGCCCTACCCCAGTCCCTGGCCCTCCATGCCACTTGTGTACTCTCCAACTTTGGAATGTTGATGCCTCTTGTCTTCTGTTCTATTTCCCTTTCTTTTGGGTCTTTACC